CGAGGGGGCAGGTGGTGAGGTGGGCATCAGAGAGGATCTTGGAGACTTCCTCGATGGTAGTAAGGTCAAAGGTGCGGAGTGTGGGGGGAGCTTCAGTATGAGGAATGTAGGGTGGGGTGGAAGAGGAGGTCAGAGCAGTGGTGGGGCCGTGGGAGAGGAGTGATGAGGGGTAGCTGAGTGAGGGTGAAGGGGGTTGGAGAGAGTTTGAGCAGCGACGAAGTCCCTGCGGGTTATGTCGAGGGGGAGGGGGGATGAGGGGGTAGCTGTGTGAGAGGGGACGGTTTTGAGAGGGCGTGTGAGTTGCGGCAATGTCCTTGCGAATTGTGTCAATCTTGTTTTTGAAGTGATTGGCAATCTCAAAGGCAGTGAGTGAGGTGCTGGGTGGAGGGTGGGGGTGGAGAGAGTAGAGAGTTGAAGGCAGGAGAAGAGTCGGCGAGGATTGGAGGAGAGGGCCTTGATGAGGGTCAAGAAGTAGGCCTGTTTGACAGCATGGAGGGAGGAGGTGTAGGTGTGGAAGGCAGATTTGTAGCGGGTGAAGGCTTGTTGGGATTTGGTTTTGCGCCATAGTCGCTCCAGGGCACGACTTTGTCGTTTGAGGGTTTTGGTGTGATCAGTCTGCCAGGGCTGGAGCGGTCGGGGTCTGATGTTGCGTGTGGTTAAAGGCGCTAGCGAGTCAAGGGCTGTTGAGAGCGCATTGTTGTAGGCGGTCAAAGCCAAGTCAGGGCAGGACAGGGGGAGGATGCGGTCGTGGAGTTGATCAGCTGCAGAGTGGAGGGAGGCAGGGTTAAGGTTGCGGAGGTTACGGCTGGTAGTAGTGTGACATTTGGAGGGGTAGGCGTTGGAGGACGAGGAGATCGAGAGTATGGAGTGATTTGAAGTGGGGTCGAAAACACTACTGTGGCCCACAGTACTGTGCACTGCAGCTGCTTTAGATCTGATGGGAAGCTCTGAAATGAGGGGAAAGCTCTGCTGATTTCTTTCATCCAAATCACATGCAAGCAAAAATGCTGTTTATTTTCCTTGCATGCAATTGGGTATGCTTTACAAAGTGAAAATTTTACTCATTTACTAAGCTCTGGAGCATGTGCACAGTATATTTCTCTTTGCTAAAACTCCAATGTGTACTTCATGCCATCTTTTTATTGGGGGACTTGATTTTTTTTTTTTCTTTAACCACTGGCTTCCCAAGCCTATTCTGATATTTCTCTCCTACATGTAAAAATACTCTGAACCCCCAAACATACATTTATTATATATTTATTTTTCAGCTGAGGTCCTAGAGATTACAATGGTCTATGTCACAATTTTTTATGTCACATGGTATTTGCAAAAAAAAAAAAAAATAAATAAAACTCACCAATACATAACCCAAATTTAAGGTACAATATAAAAGATGATGTTACGCCAAGAAGATAACCAACAGGTCACACTTTAAAATTGCACTCACTTGTGGAACGGCACCAAAACTACGGTACATAAAATATCTACATAGGCTATGCTTTAAAAAAATTTTTACAGGTTACCTGATTAGGAGTTACAGAGAAGGCCTAGCATTTGCTGTAACATTTGTGGCAATATCTCACGTGTGGTGCAAACACCGTTTACATATGCGAGTATGACCAATGTATGCGTTTTCCACTGCAGCTAGCATGGGGGGACCAGGGCGCTTAAAAAAAAAAATTTTCTCTTCTTTACACTGTTCCTTTAATTTTTTGTAAAATGTAAACAACTGCTAGTTATAGATATAAGCCATGACAGGCCTCTTTATAGCGAGATACCCCCCACTTCTCCAGGTCCTCCCCCATCCTCTGGAACTCACTACCCCAATCCATCAGACTGTCACCTTCCCTCCTCACCTTCAGGCGCTCCCTGAAAACCCACCTCTTCAGGGAAGCCTACCCCACCCTCACCTAACAGCCGCTGCCCTTCCCTCCTCCTCTACCACTCCATCCCCCACAGCCGTTTCCTCCTGTGCCTCTACCCCCTCCCTCCTAGATTGTAAGCTCGAAAGAGTAGGGCCCTCTTACCCCTTGTGTACTATTTGATGTTACTGTTCTGTTTCATGTATTGTCCCCCTCTATTGTACAGCGCTGAGCAAACCCTTCGGCGCTATATAAACTCGATAAATAAATAATAAAAATAAATAAATCTCTCCTCTCAGCTGGAAAGGATGAGCTATGAAAAAAAAAAAAAAAAAAAAAAAAAAAAAAAAAAAAAAAGGGGGGGGCTCAGGCCATCAAAAGAAAAAGATTTTCCATCAAAAGAAAATAAAAAGGAAGGGTTTACATCTGCCAGAACCAAAGTGACGTTTTGACGTCACTTCTGCCCTCCCAAGGGGCCCATCTCTGATCACCGCGCTGCAGTGGTGAATCACATTCCGCAACAGTGCCGATGGACCACCCCTCCCGCCGCCTGAAAAATGAATCTAGCAACAGCCTAGCCACTCGGATTACTATTATTTCAAAGAAAATCACCGGCTGAAAAAAATTATACCGATATAATGGTTGTACCTCAACTATTGCCGGTAGGGAAGCTGTTAAAAAAGGGTGACAAGGCCCCACCCCCTCAATCTACAATCCGTACACCATGACAACGCGAATACAGAATTTTAGATGGGTTTGCAAAACATATGTAAAAGGAAAAACTGAAATATCACATTGCCATAAGTATTCAGACCCTTTGCAACAACGCCTGAAATTTAGCTCAGGTGCCTCCTGTTTCTCTTCAGGCTAGGTTCACATATGTGCGGGCGGTGCCACTGCGGATCCACAAAAAAATACGTGCAGCCGCACCACCCACCCGTGTCCCGGGGCACGGGAGTCCATTCAAATAATGGGCTCTTGTGCCCGAACAAAAAACGCAGCCCACAGGAACGCGAATATGTGAACCAGGGGTCATTGTGGCTGAGATGTTTCTACACGTTGATTAGAAACCACCTGTGGTAAATTAAATTCATTGGACATGAATTGGAAAGCCACACACCTCTGTAAAAGGCCTCACAGCTGACGATGCATAATGTATCAGAGCAAAAGCCATAAAGGTCAAAAGAGTTCAGAGACAGGATTATTGCAAGGTACAGATCTGAGAAAGGCTACAAAAAAAAAATAAAAAATTTCTCCTGCACTGAAAGCTCCCAAGAGCACAGCGGCCTCCAAATTTCTCACATGGAAGTTTGCTACAACCAGGACTCTTCCAAGAGATGGTTGCACGGCCAAACTGAGCAATCGGGGGGAAAAAAAAGGGCCTTAGAAAGAGGTGACCAAGAACCCGATACTCACGCTGACTAAGCTCCCGAGACCTTGTGTGGAGATGGGATAAAGTTCCAGGACAACCATCACTACAGCCCTCCAACCATCTGGGCTTTATGGCAGAGTGGCTAAAATGAAACCTCCCCTCATCTGCAAAATACATGAAAGCCCACTTGGGAGTTTGCAAAAAAGCACCTGAAGGATTCTCAGGATGTGATGAAACCAAGATTGAACTGTTGCTTCAATTCAAAACATTATGTCTGGAGGAAACCAGGCACTACTCATAACCTGCATGTAAACAAACAGAGGGCGCAAGGGCATAGTGCATTATCTTTTAAAATATCATTTATTGTATTAAAAAAGTGTTAATATACTCACAAATTAAATGTCAAAAGCACATCATATAAAAAGTACAGCATGGTCCACTCACACTGGATGATATCCATAATGGGACTCCAACACCTCCAAATGACTGACGCGGTTTTCGAGGATTTGCCTCTTCCTCAGAGCCCAGGTCCTCCTTTGTGAGTATATTAGCACTTTTTTATGCAATAAATGATCTTTTAAAAAAGGTAATGCACTAGGCCCATGAGCCCTCTGTTTCTTTACATGCAGTACTCTGGATTTCTCTGGTCCATTGGGGGCAGCAAGGCGTGCAGTTCCTAGGCATCCTAAATGTCGCTCTTCCAGCACAGGAGTATTTTCTCATGCCATTCTTGGTCACTACTCATAACTTGCCCAATAGTGAACTAAGGCGGTGGCAGCATTATGCTGTGGGGGTTTTTTTTCAACAGCAGGGAGACTAGTCAGGGTTGGAGGAAAGCTGAATGGAGCAAAGTACAAAGAAATCTTCAAAGAAAACCTGTTCCAAAGCACTCAGGTCCTCTGGGCCAAAGTTTCACCTTCCAACATGACAACAATCCTAGGCACATAGCCAAAACACAGGAATGGCTTTGGGAGAACTCAATGTCCTATAGTGGCACAGCCACAACCCTGACCTAAACCCTATTGAACATCTCAGTAGAGACCTGAAAATGGCTGTCCATTGACTGTCCCCATGCAACCTGTCTGAGCTGGAAAGGATTTGCAAATCCCCCAATCCAGGTGTGCAATCTTGTTGCGTCATACCCACAGACTTGAGGCTGTAAATGCTGCCAAAAGGTGCTTCACCAAAATACTAAGTAAAGGGTGTGAATACTTAAGTACATGTGATATTGCAGTTTTTTTTTTTTGTAATAAATCCAGACATTTCTAAAAATCTGTTTTCCCTTTGTCATTATGGGGTACTGATTGCAGATTAAAAAGGGGGGGGGGGGGTGAAGGCTGCAACATTATAGACATACACAAAATATATATTACACACATAGTATGTGTCAGCTTATTCAAGGCCCATATCATATGTTTGTAGCAGCTACAAAATCTCTCTTTGTCTGGAAAAAAAAATTGCAATGAAGGTCTTTCATTGTGATTTGACATTCAGCAAGTTCCTTTTTGTAGTGTTTTGGTTACAAATCTCCACCTTCAATAGATGATCCAAGCAGCTGGTGCCAGCTACATAGCTGTATTGATATGTAACCAGCTAGAGCAGCAACTTTGTTGCCAGCTCCAAACTACAAGGGAGATTAGAGAAATTTCTAGTGCTAGAAATTAAAGAACCTCTCAGTGTGATGTGGTCTTAGTCTATGACTTTCAACCAATACATCCCTAACAGATGGAAATCAGCAGGGCTTGCAAAACTATCCAGCAACTTACCTGCCACTTTTTAACCATAGAACACATCTTGTCACGGGTTAGATCCATGCCATGGAAGTTGGTGAGACAGTTCTTGCCCTGAACATCTTCAGTAATCAGCTTGAACTTACGGAAGGCCACTTCATCATTCTGCAGGTCAGCAAGGCTTACCTCAAATACACGGCCTTTGAGGCCATCAGATGCAATCTCTACATTAAGCAAAACAGAAAAAAATAGAAAGAAAATATTTTTAAGAAAACATTTCTAGGGCAAAATCAAGATCATTCTAGTGAATAAGGGAATGTCAGAACGATCTCAAAGATAGTAATCATGGATGTCATTTGGGACCGAAACAGTTTGTCATCATTTATTCCCATTTGTAAAACACCAATGCCATAAATCATTTGAAAACCTTAACCACTTGCCTACCAGGCACTTATACCCCCTTATGTACCAGGCCAATTTTCAGCTTTCAGCGCTGTCGCACTTTGAATGACAATTGCGCGGTCATGCAAGATTGTACCCATATGAAATTTTTATCATTTTTTTCTCACAAATAGAGCTTTCTTTTGGTGGTATTTAATCGCTGCTGGGCACTTTACTTTTTGTGCTATAAGCAAAAAAAGTGCAAAAAAAATTTGAAAAAAAAAAAAGTTTCTTTGTTTCTATTATAACATTTTTCAAACAGGTAATTTTTCTCCTTCACTGATGTGCGTTGATGAGGCAGCACTGATGGGCACTGATAGGCGGCACTGATGGGCACTGATAGGCGGCACTAATGAGGTGGCACGGATAGGCTGCACTGATAGGCAGCACTAATGAGGTGTCACGGATAGGTGGCACTGATAGGTGATAGGTGACACTGATAATGGGTACTGATAGACAGCACTGATAGGTGGCACTGACATCACTGCTGGGCACTGACTGGCGGCACTGACTGGCACAACCGCTGGGCACTGACTGGGAGCACTGCTGGGCTGCACTGATGGGCACAGGTGGGTGGCACTGGTGGGTGGCACTACTGGGCACAGGTGGGTGGCACAGGTGGGTGGCACTGCTGGGCACAGGTGGGTGGCACTGCTGGGCACAGGTGAGCGCACTGCTGGGCACAGGTGGGCGGAACTTGTGTGTGGCACTGCTGGGCACCGATCATCAGGGCACTGATGATCAGTGATCCTGATGATCGGTGCCGATCCCCGCTCTGACAACTGCCGGTTTTCGGCAGCACTTTCCTCACGCTCTGACAGCGTGAGGAAAGTGCAGCCGAGAACCGGCATTTGCATTTCCCAGTGATCAGCGTGTGTCATTGGACATGGGCTGATCACGTGGTAAAAGGCCGCTGTGATTGGCCTTTTACCACGTCACGTGATCAGCTGTGTCCGTAGGACACAGAGATCACGGAGATCGCTGGGTGCGCGCGCCCCGGGGGCGCGCAGGAGAGCGCGTTCTGGGAGGACGTCATATGACGTCCACCCAGAACTGGCCGGCCACAGTGCAACCGTCATTCGGCTATCTGCGGTCGGCAGGTAGTTAATGTTAAAGTTCACTAAAATCATTACATATAAGAGAAAAAAAAAAACCAAAGGAATAACAAAAAAAAAAAAAAAAAAAAATCCCTTCTGGCCTAACTAAGCGTCCACACTAAGTGAGTTTTATACCACAATTTCTGTATTTCGGATACATTTCTGCAAGTTTTTTGATGCGTTCTGGTGTGTTTTCCCCCTCCATCTCAATTCAGGACATATATGTTCTGATGCAGTCTTGATGCACTCTGCCACATTCCAGATACGTTCCATACAGATAAAATTAAAAAAAAAAAAAAAAAATGCAGCACGTTCTACTTCTGTTGAGCACACTGCACTGGTGTGAACTAGGGCCACTGGAATACATGGAACACACTATGTATGCAATTTGATGCAGAAGAAAAATGCTCTGGACTACATCTGTTATGAACCAGCCCTAAGACCATATACCTCATTGTGTTTAGAGAAAAAAAAAAAAAAAAAAAAAGAAGTGTTCGTGCTGAAGATGTGCTATTATAGTCTACACCACAGTAATGCAAGTAGAGAGCACAAAATGGAATATACTGTTAACACAATCATGTAACTGGATTATTTGCCATGTTTTCTACCACAATCATAGTAAACTGAATTGACAGATGGAATCCACATCTAATAAATAAAACAGAATAGAATCAAGATAGGGCAGTGGTAAAAGGCTTAGCAATAGATTTGGTATTGGTATAAGAAAACTTGACTCAGAAAAATGATGCTCCCAGTTGTTAAGTCAGCTCAGCTAACATGCCTAAAAGTTTGCACTTCTCAATTACACAACGTCTCACTGCCACTTACTTGTTCCTTGTGTTCTTGTTACCAAAGTCTTGCCAAGGTTGCGGATATTGAACATTGCTGGTGCCTTAACATCATACCAATCTTTTTTGGAAAAGGGGTCAACACTGGAAAGAAAAAAAAAAAATCCTGAAAAACGGCAAACAAATATGGTTGCCCATTTTACATCATGCTGTAACACAAGAGGTTGAACCATTTTTGTAGACTAGCGTTATAAGTTACAAATCTAAGAAATCTGCTGATGAACATTTTATGACCAACCAAGTCCTAAAACTTTGGCCAAACTATGGAGCTAGGATCACATATTACACTCTTTGGATAACTGGCTTCCTTCAGAAACTAGTTCTTCCTTCTACAGTAATATGTGACAATCCTGCAGATTCACAGCAATGACAAGTTGCTCAAACAACTGGATCACCATGTCACACCATTAGATTCATGAAGAACTTCTAGATCCAGAGTTGGAATGCAGTTTGCAGAGTGGCCGATAACCGCCATTGATGGGAAGGGCTGCAATTTCCCTTGTTAAGCAAAAAACTGTGCTAAAGGAAACAGGCCGCCACTGCTAACCACCTGCAATATACTAATTGGCTATCGTAATGACTCAACAGATTGAATCCTTTCATTGGTCCAAAACAAAGTATGCAGTGAGAAAGGTCCAATTCACACGTGTGGTGTTTTAGGTGCGTCACCATTGCATCAAAGAAGCAGCAAGCAGGATTTTTGAATGCACAGGTGTGATTGGGGCCTAGTCACGCCTGATCTGCACACTATTTTCCAGGTCAGTTCTCAAAGGAAATAAACTACTGAATAATGTTAGAGTCCATTAAGGGATAAGCTCACTTAAAAAAAAAAAAAAAAAAAAATTTTTCATTTTTTGCAGGTAAAAAAAAATGTGCGTTTACTTTTTCTAGGAGCCTGTAAAGCATTGCACCAGCAATCAGTAGATCACTCCTGCAGACTGTTTGTCTGAGCTGTCAGCCCATACACTGCACAGGCAGGCAATTTCACACTGACAAGACAAAATTGGTGAACTACCACAACCACCTCAACAGCACCATGGTAGTTCATTGACAATTAGAAGCAGACAGCCGCAAAGGCTGTTGGGACTTGTAGTTTCCCATTCACAGAACTCTGAATGAATGATGTGGCTGGGTGGGCAGAGCCCCACACAGCTTTTTTTTTTTTTTTTTTTTTTTTTTTTTTTTAATTCTGACAGTGGGGGTAGAAGATCCCCCGCTAGCTGTCACAACAGGGAATTTGGGGGGGGGGGGGGGGGGGTAATATAGGTGTCTAATAGAATGGAAAAGGGTTAAAACTTATGAGGTTTTTATCGCTTTCTGGGATGCCATTAGGGAGGTCTCTTTTCTCACTATATCACTAACACAAGACAAAAAGGTCTCTGGGACACAGGCAGCAAATACCTGCCACTACTCTATAACAAGGGTTATTGCTGCTGGCTCTGTCCACTGTGAAAAACATTTCTCATCACTGCCTGTCCCTGCAATCCTATCACTGGAGCAAGACTTAAGCAATAAATGACAGGAGATCTAACAATACCACATTCTATCTAAGGGAATGAAAAAATAATTGTTCCAAGAGTTGAGCTTTAAATTCTGTGCATCTGTGTACACCAACACATTCTACAAGAAGACCAGTTTTTACAATCTTTCACCTGTGGGAATGAAACTGTATAGATTAGATCAGTTAATGAAGTCTGATGAAGCCAAAGAACAAAACGATTGGGAATGTCAGAACGATCTCAAAGTTGGTAATCACAGATATCATTTGGGACCCGAGAAACACTTTGTCATCATTCATTCCCATTAATAGTCTGAAATCATTCCTAGGATTAAGTTTACTTTTATATCATTAAAGCACATCTCTAGGCAAAGCTCTCCCCATCCATTCAGCAGGTTAAAAAAAAAATCTCTTGTAAAGCTTTTATTTCAAACTCGCCTAACTCCCCGTCCCTCACTAGCGCTCCGACCAAGGAGTGACTACCAGTAGATCGAGCAATGTAGTCTGCACCTGTGCGGTTTGCCTGTGTGTACCCTGAGAGAGCCCTGCTGAAAAACAGCCAATAGAAGTGCGCACATCACTCAGGTAGCAACACTGGCAACCAGTTACAATACAATTCAGAGGAAGAGGGGTTGGGAGTAGCCTGTCAATGCGATTTTACAAATCTAATTATAATAAACATAACTCCCCCCCCCCCTCCTTAACATTACATAACAGGACAGTTAAGTAGGATTTTTCAGCTAGTAAAATGCAAGTGGGAAATTTAATTTTTTTCTTTAATAGTTATGCAATGTGAATGGGAAAACAAAGATAAAGTAGGTGTTATCCCAATTTTCGTTGTGGCAGGAGTTTGATGACAGACGAGACCCTATTGGTCTCCCAACTGGTCTCTTCTTTCCCAACTGCTTCTTCCTGTCAGCATTAAAGTGGAACTTCACCCATAACAACTTGATACAAAATGTTGTTCTTCAGCAAGAAACAAACATTCCAAATTATTATACTACCAAAATTAATGAGTGTTGTAAATTGCTTCCAGCGTTGTTTTTGCTTCTTTCTTGCTGGAGGATGCCATTTTGCTGACGCCTAGAACCAGAGCAGCAGTATATCTCGAACACCTCTAGTGGCTCTGATTTTCGGCACAGTGCCTAAAAATAGAGAGCAACTGAGCATGTGCAGAACAGAGAGTGTGTATTACTGGATTTTAAACAGTATAGGCACTTCTTTTTAATGTTTTTGTAGCTATACCTGCACAAGGGGCAAACCTGAAGTTATCTAGCAGGACTACATTTTCAGATTAAAAATCCACTTTATTGTGCACTGAGCATGCTCAGCAACCCCCTTGTGCAGCGATGAAGTGACTCCCATGCACAAATGTGGGAGTGACACAACTGCAGGCAAACCAATCGAATGACCAAGCCAAAAGAAAGGAAAAGATGGAAGCACCTGTGAAGAGTGGGAGTGCTGACAATGCAGCTATGGAGGGGATTGTTTCACAGGCAAGTCTGCCATAATGTGCGACAATGCTGTGCATACCAGTACAGTATAGCCAACACCTCCTGGGGACACATTTAAAAAAAATGTTGGAGTTTAATGCCACTTTAACTTAAAGTGGTTCTAAAGAATTTTTTTTTTTACCCTAAATCAGAACTATACTCATGTTAGCTCCAACGATTTGCCGTCCTGGAGCTCCCCTCCAGTTGCTGACATCTTCAAGTGGCCGGCTTCCCAGGTATCAATTGTGGCTGCTCTCATTGACTGGCCAAGGATGACATCATTCCCACACATGCATGGGGGCTCTGTCAACTTCAGTATTGCAGAATTTCTAGCGTGAACTGCACAGACAGGAAGACAGCCAAGAAGGTCATTTCAATGCAGAAGAAACAAAGCATGCCTCTTCTGCATTAAAAATCCTGCCGGTTTGTTCATTTTTATTTTTCACATAGGTTTCCACTTTAATGAAATTCCTGCATAAAGGTAAACAACCCCCACCCACACCACACACACACACATAACATCTACCCTACTGATCCAGCCCTCTCCTATCTGCAGCACTACTACACTCCCTCTTCATGACTTCACAGAAGCCATTGGCTCCTGCTGCTGTCAGTCAAATCCTGTGAGAAGAGAACAGGGGATGCGACCAAGCTGTGATGTGTGTGTCTATGGACACACATAGCTCAGGAGTGCACCCTCAGCATATAGCTTGTTATGGGGGCACCCATAAGGAAAGTTGGAGTGTGCTGATGGCAAACTCCAGACAAAGAGGCAAGGAAACACTCTGCAATATCGTTGCCAAAGTATAACATCTCTTATTTTGATATTAATCGCTTCCCGACTGCCCTATAGCAGATATACTGCCACAGGGAAGCACGGGTGTGCAAAATCACGTATATACATATATACATGTGATTTTTCATTTCCGGGTAGGGGATGCGCGCAAGCCCTACAAGCGGTGCCAATCACCGGTCCTAACCGGTGATTACTCGCCAGTGCCCGGTGATTGCCGAGCATCTCCGACGGGGAGAAGCACAGCCATGCAAAGCAGTGTGATTACAGTGAAGCACATGGACACAGTGCCATTAGTACAGTGTCAGTGCTTTTTTTTTTTTTTTTTGCACGGATCACTGTATTTGTGTCACTGGGGATGTCAGTGACACCAAGTCAGTTCCCCCCCCAGTGTCAGAATGCCCGCAATCCCACTAAGTCACTGATCACCGCCATTACTAGTAAATATTAAAAAATTTTCAGTATCTATACCGCCATTTGTAAATGCTATAACTTTCACGTAAACCAATTAATTTACACGTACTGGGATTTGTTTTTTTAGCAAAGACATGTAGCAGAATACATTGTGGACAAAATTTATGACAAAATGTTATTTATTTTACATTTTTTATTGGACATGTATTTATAGTGCAAAAAAAAAAATGCACTGCAATCAAATACCACTGAAAGAAAACTCCATTTGGTGGAAAAAAATGACGTAAATTTCATTTGGGCAAAAAAAGCATGGTCAGGACAGGGGGGATCCTCTGGTGGACGAGTGGTTAAATATCACATTTAAAAAAAATATATATAAAACTCTGCAATGAAATGGAAAGGGAGGTGTGACAGCTGACTGGGATTCAACTTTACAGCCAGGCTTCAGTCCAGGGTCTTTGCTTTGACTAGGCTTGAGAAGAGAAAACTTCTGTCAAGATTCAAAGTGTCTGCTTGTGCCCCCACTGCGGAGATTTCCCTCCCTTCCTATCACTGGGAGATCAGGACACAAGCAGGATCTTGTCGCTGGGACAGACGTTTCCCTACAAGAGAGATTCTCTTCCCATCCAGTTAGGAAGTTGCAGGAATCTGTTCCATGGGGACACACAGGCCAACAAAAAACCTTTCAGAGTTCCCATCACTTCCTCATTGCCCAAACACACGTTGGTAGCTGGGCTTTAATCACCGATGAGAACAGCCATCCTCTGAGCTGGTCAGCTTGTGCAGCCAGGCACCCTGTGCTCAGGGGATTCCATCACAACCCAGCAGCCTCAGAGTTCCTGCACAGACATGGTCCCTCCAGGGTCTGTCATTCCCTGCATTGTACAAGGGTGCAGCTACACGGGCTGTAGAGAGAGCCCCCAGGAACACACAACCCTGGACGGAGTCAGCTGAGGGGCTCATACACCGGGCCTCACTATGGGACAACACACGTGACCTGTGTGTACAGTACACGCCTTAGTGCACACAGGCACCCCCGAGCCAAGCACACATTACCCATAGAAGGGACCTGCACGGGGCGCCAACCCGAGCCTCCGCCAGGCCGGCAGTCACGGAGCCCGGCACGTCTACATCCACCTTCTATCAGCGCCATCCTTCTCCCAACCCCCACCACACACGTCCTATCGCCGCGCGCACACCTCGCCCTCATTCCCTGGCCTCTATTTCTACTCACATCTTCTTCTTGGCACCTTTTTTGCCGCCTTTGGTCAGCCGCTTGTTCTTGCCCACTGCCATCTTGCCCAGCTGGGAGAGAAAGAGGAAACGCAGGCCGCACGCGCGAGACTTCAACGGGAAGGCAAGATCAGAGAGAGAGAGAGGGACGGGCACCTGGGAGACGCTGAGGCCCTCTGATGGCCGGAGGAGGTATAGCGCAAGTGAAGGGTCTCTGCGGAAGGCAAATTACCGGTGTAGCAGCAAGATGAGTATCCCCATGAAGATGTCTCCCTGACGCATCTGCGCATGTCACGGTTTCAGAGACATTCAATATTGCTGGGGAATATTATTTATTTATTTCAGGTACTTGTATAGCGCCATCAACTTACGCAGCGCTTTGCATATATATTGTACATCCACATCAGTCCCTGCCCTCAAGGAGTGTACATCTAAGGTCCCTAACTCACCTTCATATACAAGGGCCAATTTTAGACAGGATTCAATTAACCTACCAGCATGTCTTTGGAGTGTGTGAGGAAACCGGAGTACCCTGGAGGAAACCCAAGCACCCGGAGGAAACCCATGCAAACTCCAGGCAGGTGGGAGAACATGCAACATGGGATTTGAACCAACGACCTTGGTACTGCGAGGAGGAAGTGCTGACCATTTATCCACTGTGCTGCCCATTAACATCATTAACATCATCATCATCACTTGCCCGCCAGAGGATTTACCCCCTTTGCTGACCAGGCCATTTTTGTGATAAGGCGTTGCATTACTTTAACTAACAATTGCGTGGTCATGCAACGCTGCACCCAAATTAAATTTACATCCTTTTTTCCCCACAAATAGAGCTTTCTTTCTGTGCTATTTGATCGCCTCTGCGGTTTTTATTTTTTGTGCTATAAACAAAAAAAGACTGACAATTTTGAAAAAATATATATTTTTTGACTTTTTGCTATTAAACATGTCCAGTAAAAAAGTTTAAAAGATCAAATTTCGTCATAAATTTAGGCCAAAATGTATTCTGCTACGTCTTTGCTAAAGAAAAATCCCAATACGTGAACGTGAACTCTCGGTGTCACTGACATCCCCAGTGACACTAATACAGTGATCAGTGCTAAAAAAAAAGCACTGACACTGTACTAATGGCACTAGGCATGAAGGGGTTAACATGTAGGGTGATCAAAGGGTTACCTGTGTGCTGTGTGTGCTTTACACTGTAAGCACACTGCTTTGTATGGCTCTGCTATGCAGAGCCATATAAAGCAAGTGTGCAGGAGCTGATAGCGGAGAGATCTGTGTTGTTTATACACAGGTCTCTCCCCCGTTGGAGATACTCGGCGATCACCGGGTGCCGGCGAGAAATCACCATCTGGGACCTGATGACTGACATCCGAGACCACAGATTGGGCGCGCAGGGGCACCCTCTACCCAGAACTGCAAAATCACATATATATACTTGATTTTGCACATCTGTGCCGCCCTGTAGCAGTATTTCTGCTATATGGCAACACAGAAGTGGTTATTTTCAGGGCTTTTTTTTCTCAGTTAATAAAGGTACAAGAAATCCCCCCTTCTGAGTCACTTCTTGTCTCCTCCTCCTACCTGCCTCCGAGCACCACCTAGGTTCCACCTAGGGTTGCCACCTCATTCCTTTAAAAGTGAACTCATATTAATTACACAGGTTCTGAGGCTAATTTAATACAGATAAGGCGCTAAGTGAGTTTAATTACCGCCTTAATCTGCCACAAAACCTGTGTAATTAATATGTGTTCAATTTTAAAGGGATGAGGTGGCATCCCTAGTTCCACCCCCAACCCACCTCCCAGTACCAGCACTTTTAGAGGATACAGAGCCAACTATCATTTTGTGATGCTAAGTAATTCATATGAATTTGTTCATGACAACAGAAAAGCAGTAAAATAGATCCCCTGCAGCCAGCAGCAATAGACCCTCCTCCAGCAACAATAGATTCCTCCAACAACAATGGACCCCCTAGCAACTATGGATCCTCGCAACAACAACCCCCCTCAGAAACAATAGACCCCAGCATCAACAACAGATTTCCCAGCAGCCAGCATTATCAGACTCTCAAACAGCCAGGAACAATAAACCCCTCCCTCAACAGTAGATCCCTTCCAGTAACAGTTGACCCCCTAGCAACAATAGATCCCCACCAGCAACAACAGACCTCCCCAGCAATAATATACCACCATGCAACAATAGATCCCGCAGTAGCCAGCATTAATAAAACCTCCAGCACACCCCATCTCCCCATACTATTACATACATTCAGTGCTGGAGGTGCTGAAACTGCATTCCCCATGTTCCCGCTGGAAAAAAAAACCCTGATTATTATTATTATAATACAGGATCTATATAGGGCCAGCTCTTTACAATATAAAGGGAGACATTAGCAAGGGTGTCAAACTGGCGGCCCTCTAGCTGTTGCAAACTACAAGTCCCATCATCATGCCTCTGCCTTTGGGAGTCATGCTTGGAACTGTCAATCTTGCAATGTCTCATGGGACTTGTAGTTTGGCAACAGCTGGAGGGCCGCCAGTTTGACACCTGTGCATTAGAGAAAGGATACAATTCAATACAAGAGGGTTAGGAGGGCCCTGCTCCTAGTAGTTTACAATCTAATAGAGAGGGGCTGGTGGAACAAAAGGTAACTGTGGGGGGGGGGGTTGTGAACTGATGGGAGATATAGAAGATTCGGTTATTTGAGGAACTCATCTCTAAATAGGTACAACAAATGTCTTTTTGTGGAGTTTGCTACACAAAAAAGAGATCAATGATCATACAGTTGTCCTACCATGTGTGCCTGGTTTTGCATACTACTTGTGTAACTTCTTCTAGTGAGCCATTTTCCATCTATTTACTGACTGAGCCTCCTATTTTCCATCTAGTAAACTCATAAAAAAAAATAAAAAAGTTTCCTGCTGCAAGGTAAATATCATAATGTGCTAGTATGCTACACATTCTTAAGGACTAAGAATGAAGGCCTCCAGCAGCGCACTGTCACCACTTGACTTCTATTTCACCTGTCTTCCTTCCAGGTCCACAGGCTGCGGCTGCTTGATGCCGAGCCACCGATGATGGCACTCTACCAACACAGAGTTTCGGGCATGGCAACAACTCTGATGAAACGGCACAGGTTAATGTCCTTGCAGTATGAGCTGATGCCAGGACTCTACCAACAGACCAGAACTATGTGATGGATCCAGCTGGAGAAGGAAGACAGGTAAGTGATACAGCCTGTTCTACAATCCTCTAAATATTAAATAAATAAGTGTTGCACTAAGGATATTATAAATGTGTACAAAACATATTATAGCAAAAACTCCAATATTAATAAAGTGCTTGATATATATATACAGTTGCAAGAAAAAGTATGTGAACCCCTTGGGATTACATGGAGTTTTGCATGAATTGGGCATAAAATGTGCTCTGAACGTCATCTAAGTCACAACAATAGAAGAACACAGTCTGCTGAACATAATACTACACAAACATTAGATGTTGCCATGGTTTAATTGCACATGTAAACATTCACATGCAGGGAGGAAAAAGTATGTGAACCTTTGGACTTAATAACTGGTTGACCCTTCCTTTGGCAGCAATAACCTCAACCAAACGTTTCCTGTAGTTGCAGATCAGACCTGTACAACGATCTTGAGTAATTTTGGACCACTCCTCTTCACAAAACTGTTTCAGTGTAGCAATATTCTTGGGATGTCTGGTGTGAATCGCTCTCTTAAGGTCATGCCACAGCATTTCAATCGGGTTGAGATCAGGACTGGGGTGGGGGGGTGGGGGGGGGGGGGGGGGGGGGGGGGGGGGGGGGGGGGGGTGGGGGGGGGGGGGGGCTGACTGGGCCACTCCAGAAGGCGTATTCTGTGCTTTTGCAGCCATTGTTTTGTTGAATTACTTGTATGCTTTGGGTCATTGTCCTGCTTGCATCACCTATCCTCTGCGGAGCTTCAGTTGGTCATACATTTTCCTTCAAAATGTCTTGATAAACTCTGGAATTCATTGTGCGTTTATTATTTTTTACTAAAAAGGTGAACCTATCCTTTAACCTTTTAAAAGGGTGCTCTCCATACGGACCCTTCAACTTCCCTCCTGGGTGTACTTTTATTAGGAGCCACTGATGACGTCATTTGTGATGAAACCTGTAGAGCAGTCTTGCCATCTCAGAAGAACACATACAGTAGGCTGTGAGTAAGAAGCATATAGTGGTTGAATGGCAGTCTGTGTTTTTACTCAACATATGGTTTTATCCTTGATTATGGCTTGATAATCTGTACTTATTTGCAGTGCTTTGAGTGCAATCTTTTTGGTTGTTTTATTTAAATACATTTATTGAGTTTTTGACAACCATAATAAAATAACTTACCATTCTTATAATAGCAAAGCAATGTAATAGGCCCGCAACACTTCATAGTATACAAATACGGAACAATAATTAGGTACCACAGTTGTTTGTAAATTATATCATAAGTACATAACAGATAAATCAGTAAAAAGCAGTAGAGATTTGCATTATGCCTACTAATGGGGCCCATTGAAGATAAGAGCTGATTCACACATGTACGGTGCAGATTGAAGCTCAGGTTTCACAGCTAGTTGATACAGTAGTGCTAATTGATACAGTAGTTGTTCACAGATGTTTTAACACATCAGGTTTACATCAGGTTCAGGACAGGATTAGCTCAGGATCTTATCTTGTTCACACATATGCGGTTTAGAATCGGTTCCCATAGAAGTCAATAGCTTGTAATCCACACCTGAACCAGACCGCACTGCTCAGAAATTGTACATGACTCTTTTTAAAAAACACACTGAATCTGCACCGGACATATGTGAACAGGCACCATAGGAAGCCACTGTACACTTCAGCTTGTTCGTAATTCCTCATATTTTGTCTGCTGCTGTCAATTGTCAGCAGTGTTTTTTCACGTCATGTGGATTCAATGTGGTTCAAACCACCTTTCCAATCCACATTTATGTGAAAGGGCACTAAGTCTTATAAATCCCAATGTCTCACCGGCTAGCCAGCATTGGCATAATGAATACCGAGGATG